GAAATTGTATAAAATGTATAAGTAGCATAACAAATTTTGAGACTCTAGCTTTAAAGATGTAGGAGATATAAATTTATTACTGGTTTTCGATAATGTTTTTARTCGATAACAAAATAACKGGRMAAKTTATCGATATTTAAAGCAAAACTCGATATGCGCGTGCTATACACGGACCTAACAAAAAAATTTTTAATCTCTAGCTCCTATATCTTCTGAGATCGACGCGTTCAAACATACGGACAGACGGACGGACGGACAGACGGWCAGGGCCAAATCGACTCAGTTCGTCACCCTGATCAAGAATATATATACTGTGTGGGGTCTGCCACGCCTCCTTCTGCCTGTTACATACATTTCAACAGAACCATTTACACATTGAAAATGGGTTCAGGGTATAAAAATATTACATCGCATTTTGAATGTTTATTTAAAATTTTTTAAATCTTTAATTTAGCTCTACTTACGTTTACAGGGTCGATCCGGGAACATGCGAGCAAATCCCAGCCGACATTGACAGTGACTCACGAACTCTGAGATATTGGTACATATCTCATTTCTGTTGGGCTTACAAGCTGGATTGCAAGTCTTTGGTGATGTGATTGGACCCAATAGGGTTTTCGGAGGGGTTTCTATTAGGATACCTCCAAGCAGCACATTATTAGAGTTGATAGGAGGCTGGATTTCTTCGTCTCGAGTGGGTATATCAAATGTTATATTCGTATCATTATCCAACGGAATTTCTGGGTCGATGATTTTGCTATTCTCATTGCTATTAGCTTTTGTCATAACAATTAATATGCTAGACATGTCGGGTCGGAAGTCCAGTTTTATAGTATTATTAGTTATTATTGCATAGGTATTAGATTCATCCCCTATATAATCTAATAATTTAGTTTCGGTAGTCAGAATTTCTTTAGTATCCATTAAAGTTGGCATATATATTAAGGTACTTGGTAATTGTGGAATTATTTCCTTTTCACTACTAGCAATTCGCGATGAAGAAGATTTAATTGTTTTCGAAGTGATACTCTTGTCTTTTAAAAAGTTTTCATTAGGACGAATATCCGTTATCTTATTGAAAAATGTATTGCTATTCAAGTTCCCAATAGAAATTTTGGTGGATGAAATTTTCTCCATTGGCTCCGATGATTCCAAAAAAAATAGCGAATTTTCAATATTGTTATAAGCAGTCAAGTCTAGATTATTATTTGAGGCATTATTATCATAATAAGTATTTGTAGACACGGCTCCAGAATCCCAGATTGGTGTAGTGACAGCCTCTTGTATTTTTTTTAATATCGAAAATGTTTTAACAACAGACTCGGTTATGGTTTGAAGCTCAGCGGCATTTGATGAAACTGCTGTTAAGTTAGTTAAATTGAAAGTATTTGGTGTATGGGGTTTCCATGCATTAACTGTCTTTGTGGCCGATAGAAATTTTTCTGAGTTTATTACATTATCTGATTCGTTAGATATTGTATGTACAGCTATTTGACTGTAACTCGCGCCTTTCGGTGCTAATGGGTTATGCTTACCAGATTCCTTCAGTTTGGATGATAGTTTTGTATCTTTTCGACTCTCAACTGTGTTAGTAGCTTTTATCATGGATTTAGTTATTGTTGGCTTCTGGGTAATAGCTTCCATAAATATTGATGATACTTGTATATATTTTCGATTCGTAGCTGCAGATGAGAGTGTGATGGATTTTATCATGAACTCAGTTGTTGTTGGTTGATGGGTAATCGGTTCCTTATATATTGATAATACTCGAATATCTTTTCCATCCGTATTTTTTGATGGTGATCTATTGTATATATTATTAACTCTTGATGGTGATGACGTCGGCTCTGATTCCAGAAGTGTTGGTGGCTGCAATCCAACTACACTTTGGTTAACCTCTGTTCCATAGATCAATGGTGAAGATGTCTTTAGAAATGTTACCAACGGTGGAGGCATCAATATTGTGGGAAATAGTTTAGTTGGCTTAATGGTATTATCCATATGATTCACTAATGGGAAATTGTATTTTTGTTTATCCTGTGGCTGTGGTCTTATATTAAATTGTTCACCAACTGCCACAAACAGCTTTTTGGATAAATCATTTGGTTCTTGGCTTGCTTGAGTTTGAGTTTGGGTTTTGATTTCAATTGACTTGACAAACGGGCGACCCAAGCCGATAGTCTGAAAGGGTGTAAACGATAGCCATGTATTTACTGTGCTAGAGCTTTCCACATCACGAGTAGTTGGTGGTTCATGAAAATTCGCAGAAATATTTTCGTTTTGTAAATGATAGTTCGAGTTGTAGGTAGTATAGTCAGCATTTTGATCTTGATATGAATTTAATTCTCCACTCTCATAAGGGGTAGTACGCTCATCATAGATGGGATATGGATATACCAGGCTTTGCGATTTTTGTTTATTTGATTTGATTGAGCTAGAAGCAATGCGACTTAAATCTGAGTGCACGTTCCATTTTGTAAAAATTTCGCTAAAATTCCATTTGTCATTGGTGTTTTCCAATTTATTCTGACTCTGATCTATAATTTTTTTATTCGATAAGGATGATACTATTATAATCGGTTTGCTGGAACTGATAGTTTTGCTACTAATATTTGCATTTCGGACAGTTATTGTCGCGCTTTCAGTATTTTTATAAAAGTTATGATTACGTTGCTTAAATATACTACCTATTGGTTTTATAATGCTCGAATTATAGCCTGTATTAGCTACGTTAATGGATAGCCTCGTATTCTGAGGTGTGAGTTCAACCTCAACGTGTGCTTTATTCAATGGTATTTTAATAAGAGGAATGGGGGATGTGGCAATGTGGCCCCGAAGAGCAGTTGCAAATGGAATGTTTTCACTTTCCCTCTTAAAGGTCAACGGTGGGACATTAATGTTGACATTGTGATTAAGAACATCTGTCTTCAGATTTACATGATGATGAGCAGATATCTTTGCTGATATTTTGTTGTAATAATTATTGTCAGATATTGAATATGTCATGGTCGTTGGTAATTGTGTAGCGAATATTTGAGGTATTTGTTTTATTTCCAAAATTTCATTATTGTGCAACTCCGAATTTAAATTACCAATTAGTTTCTGTGATTCAGAGAGGTAACCATTGTCATTATTGCTTGATCTATTGTAGATACCTGGCAATTTAAACTTGGCTYCTGATGATGATGACGGTGTACTGAACTCCGTATATCTGTGAACGGCTTGCGATGCTGGTGGCCGAAGTATATGGTTGTAATCATGTGCTTGCAATCGGTGCTGATTTCGGTTTGTTTTCATTCGGTCCAGATTATAGTCCCCATTTACCACACCGGCCGGTGTGATGCGTGGTGGGGTCAGAGAAAGTGGTATTGGTGGTGGAATCCAAGTTGATTTTTTTGATGGTGGCACGTTATAATTTGTTTGGTTTGCATATTCTATTAATACATCATTGTCGCTGTGTGTTGTGGACAGTACATTTCGACGAAAATATTGCAGGCCTATTCCGATCGGTCGGCCAATAATAACATCAGCATTTGCATTTATAATTTCGCCAGGTCGTATTGATATTCCATTATTCAGCACAGAGTTTCCATAGGCTAAATGGGGTCTTACTGATTCAATATATGTTGGTGAAGTTGGTGAACTATTACTATTTTGCTGTTTTAGCCAGCTGTCGATTGCTCCATCTGGAAAATCGGGTGGATTGATGTGAAGACTATACGCTGCTACCCTTTTGAGATTGATGTTTGAACTAGTTATGTCTGACTTAAAGTGGTTTATTGCATGGGAATTAGGTTTTGTACTATTTGTTTGAAAAACAGTATGTTGTTCAGATGTTTGTAAAGGTATGTAAACCGGCTTTTCGTCTAATTGATTTTGTATTGAGAGCGTATTGGTTTGATTTTTCTTGCTTACAGAGGGATCATCCATATTCTGTTTTATATCCGCTTGTCGATTAACTATATTTTTTTGTAACAACTCGGCCATTACGTTAAATACTGGTCGAAAGCGTTGCAGGTTTAAAGAACCAATTAGTTGATCTACGGTCGGTGAGGCTGGTATTGATGAAGATTGAGAAGGTTGCTTCTTCACTGGCTTGAGATACACACCGTTGTCTTCCGATTCTGAAAGCTTTTGATCAAGGCCTTGCTGTAATTTGCTTTGACTATTTGTAGTTTCAACTTGATGTGTATTAGCTATAACGCTAGTTGGGCTTAAAGAATCATTGGAACTCTGTTTTACTAATGATTTGTTGACGGATCCTTGATCACGTATCAGAACTGTGGGTCTTGCAGTCGACGAGTTTTTCTTTATCTTCACGGCAGTTACTTGCAATGTTTCTCCACTTAGCAGGGTAGCTAGTGTGGCAAGTATTTTTCGATTATTTTTCCCCTTTGTTTGTATTAGCTGAGTTCGGAACATGGATACAAGCTCCGGTTGCAGCAATGAATTTGGCACAACGTCCGTGATAATATTGACAATCACCTTTGTTTGTAAATTAGTTTGTGTTTCCATTTCGTTTTCGGATATGGATGACTGTCCTTCAGATTTTAAGCCTAAAGCTGTTGACAAGTGGTATGTAACTGTTGTCAAATAAGTTTTCGTTGCATAAATTTGGACTTCATCCATTTCGCTAGCTGCTGCAAGAGACCCTGGATTTTTTAACTCCGATGCACCTCGTGGCGGAATAGATTCCGTGATGACAACTTGTGTCAAAATATTTTCATCTTCTAGAATTCTCGTTGAGTTCACTTCATCTAGATGTGTTCTTATTACATTCAATGGACTGTAGTATGTATTTGTATCTAAAAGAGGAGTTGCATCTTCTGAAGGCTGCAGATACGAAATATAATCCTCCGGCCCAGTCACTGTATTAATTATTGTGTAACTTGATCGGATAACAAAGTCGTTGTTTTTAATTGAATTATAATAATGGTATGTTGTTGGAAATATTCCCACCGCTAGTTCGGGTGTCTAGGGGTAGATGATTAAAAATCTATTAGAAAATTGATAATTGATATAATTGTTTTTGTGAACATGTCTACCAATTGAAAATAAAACTTATTTCCCGTTCGTAAGCCAGTGGTTAACATTGATATATATTGATATATACCTGGATATGATATATAACCGGGTATCAGGATTAAAAAACTAAGCAATGTTGATCATTACATATCGATAGACAATGCTGAAAAAATGATGGAAGGCAAGAAAGAATGCACAAATAACGAATTTTTTTGTGCTTGGATGCTAAAATGCAATTTAATTTCTTTGATTTTCTGGACTGCAGTAATATTTTGATATCTTTTTATGAATAAATGGTGTTGATAGTGCTCCTGCAATGGTTCCTGAAAGTAATACTTACATTTGAAAGAGTTACGCCAAGCGACAATTTGCTGCTTGCGCGCAAAAATTTGCGCTCCTCCGTTTGGCGATTTAATATGACCTTTTCTCTACTTTCCACTGTAGTGCTTCCCTTGTTAAGGTATGTGGTATGATATGTATAGGTGGTTAGGCACGTCTTTGTAATAAATTGGTTTTCTTCAATTGGAATCGAGAAATTCTCCTAAGGCGAAGAATGAACGGTAATGGATGATCAAAATATATATTCATTTTTACCTGTCTAACAGTAGGCTCTGTCAGGAGCATATGATTCTTAAGTGTACTGGGTGCAAGAGTGATAGGTTTCTGTTGAACATTCCTCGATGGCAGACTAATCGACGAGCTACGAATTGATGACGCTTGTTTATCAATATGCTTGATTTTATCGCTTGCAATTATGAGCTCTACTCCATTCGACATAACATGTGTGGCTAAATTGAATCTAGCCTGATCCAAACTCTCGTTCAATATGTTATCGGAATTGGCCGCAACTAACTGGTTAGGGTCAGCAAGCATACGGATATTCTGAAGGCGGGATATTGAGTCAGATGTTGATTCACTTTTACTACTATGTGCTGTTTCATGTTTAACGTGTCTGTTATCGTAGCCTGCATCGATTACAAGAATTGTATGTAGACATTTAGGGTCTGAAGCAAAATGCAAACGAGCTACCTTCCTTTTAATTTTTTGTTAAATAAATTTCAAATGTCTATTTACATAGTTTTTATTCAATTATAATTCAAATTTATGACTAGTGTTAATTTATATATAAATGTCATTTTAAACAAGTTACCAAATAAATTTTTTGTTCATTCGGACACAAAAATCTATCAACGATTGAAGTACATACATATATAGTATGAATTTTGTTAATCATGATCAAGCCAGAGTCGATCTAGATCTGTTCGTTCATGTTTGTTTGTCTGTATGTATATCCCAAGAACGTGTTTGACTGAAATCGAATTTATTTATTATGCCTTTGGAATAAATTTTGCGAATTTTGATTATGCATATTATTTTTATACAAATTAAAAAAAAAAAAACAAGTAAGAAAGCTGTAGTCGAGACTGCCCGACTACGAGATCCCCTGAACCCTTCGAGCAATAGCTGTTTCAATCATTTTTCGTGTCTCTCTGCTAATACAAGACACACACACGCACACACACACACACACACGCATACACACACAAGCATACACACACACATATACACACACATCATACACACACACACACACACACGCGCACGCACACACACACACACACACAAACACACACACACGCACGCACACATAAACACGCATTGGCTGCAGTGGTGGCTTACTATAGGAACCTAATTGTTCAAAAAATTTACTTGTGGATGTACTTTCTTCATGAAACTTTCAGATTATGATTATAACTGGGAAATACATGTATTTGCCAAAGCACAACTCCCTAGTATTTGAAATACGCCTTTTACAAATGTGAGGGTGAGGGTGTGAATTAGAGATGGGGGGTAAATTTTGACAAAAACCGAAATTGTATAAAATGCATAAAGTATACATAACAAATTTGGAGACTCTAGCTTTAAAGACGTAGGAGGTATAAATTTATTACTGGTTTTCGATAATGTTTTTAATCGATAACAAAACAACGGGGCAATTTATCGATATTTAGAAAAAAATTTCAAGTCTCTAGCTCTTATATCTTCTGAGATCGACGCGTTCAAACATACGGACGGACGGACAGACGGACAGGGCTAAATCGACTCAGCTCGTCGCCCTGATCAAGAATATATATACTTTATGGGGTCTGCCACTCCTCCTTCTGCCTGTTACATACATTTAACAAAACCATTATACCCTGATTTCCCATTGAAAATGGGTTCAGGGTATAAAAATGTA